CTGAGTCCACACATACCCTGAACCCTGCTCGCCGGGCCAATTGTCGGAGTTCTCACTCCTTCATCCTGCTCGGCGGCGCCAACTGTTGGGTCCGACCCCTCTGCCCATGACTGGACCTCTCTGGACGCCAGCTCTTAGATGGAGAGGACGTGGGAAGTCATGGGGATATAAGTCTTCATTGTAGCCGCAGTAGCCATGGCTAACAAGGAGCCATCAGACAAATCAGTTCTTCAAAGCAAAGTCCCATGAAGCAGGGAGCCCACAGAGGCTGGTGAACAATCCATCTTCCCTCAGAGCAGCCTCCACATAGGAGCGACGCGAAGTAACCTGGCTCACACAGGAGCCATGACAAACCTAGTAGCCCGACCAGGCAGCGAACCACTCACACAACGAGGCTTCTTGCCCAAAGCGGCATCGTCTCTGGTGACAGCAGGGCCTGTGCAGTGCAGGAAGATAGCTGTGTCCTTGCTTTGCACCTGCTTCTGGGAAGCTGGCCCTGGCCTTGCACATCTGGCGTCCTCTGGACAGGGCCCCACAGTCCCCCTTGAAAAAGGTGCATGCTCTGCACGGCCCAGGTGGGGCCTAACCTGGCTCCCGTGACCTCCCGCCTCCCCCCCTCGCCGCCCCCGCAGGTACGTGGTCTTCCTGAAGCTCTTCCTGGAGACAGCCGAGCAGCACTTCATGGTGGGGCACAGGGTCCACTACTACGTCTTCACCGACCGGCCGGCTGACGTGCCCAGCGTGGCGCTGGGGGAGGGCCGCCGCCTGGTGGTGCTCGAGGTCCCGGGCGCCGCGCGCTGGCAGGACATTTCCATGAGCCGCATGCAGATGATCAGCGACTTCTGTGAGCGGCGCTTCCAAAGGGAGGTGGACTTTCTGATGTGCGTGGACGTGGACATGCGCTTCAGCGACCACGTGGGCGTGGAGATCCTGTCCCCGCTCTTTGGCACCCTGCACCCCGGCTTCTACAGGGCAGCCCGCCAGGCCTTCAGCTACGAGCGCCGGCCGCAGTCCCAGGCCTACATCCCCCGGGACCAGGGTGACTTCTACTACTTGGGGGGCTTCTTCGGGGGATCAGTGGCCGAGGTTCAGCGGCTCACCAAGGCCTGTCACCAGGCCATGATGGCCGACCGCGCCAATGGCATCGAGGCCGTTTGGCACGACGAGAGCCACCTGAACCGGTACCTGCTGGACCACAAGCCCACCAAGGTGCTGTCCCCGGAGTACCTGTGGGACGAGCAGCTGCTGGGCCGGCCGGCCGTCATGAGGAAGCTGAGGTTCATGGCTGTGCCCAAGAACCATCAGCAAATCCGCAACTGAGGGGTGCACCAGGGGCGCGGGGAGGGCTGGGGGCCGACTGCGCTTCCCTTTTCTGTCCTGTGGAGGCCTGGCACTGCCCCAACCCCCAAATACAGGCCTTGGGGCACCTCCACCCTGTGCACAGGCATGCAGGAGACCGGCCCCATTCCCTGGCACAGGGCCTGGAGTGGCCTGGCCATCGCTCCCACTGGGTGCCCCTCGGGCCCTTC